CTTTTTAGTGAAATGTAGGTGTCCTAATAGTGTTTTTAGCAGTGTGGGACACATATACGACTGTCAACAGCTCAAAAAATGTGTTTTGGTGTTTCGTGACCCTTTAAAATCACTTCCACTTCAGGAGTGACAGTAACAGGTGCAGTGGACATTCGTTTGGAATCGTTGCTCATCTCTCCATGTTATAGTTCGAAATCAAAATAAACATAATTGTTTTAATATGAAAGGCAATCAGCATGTTTCAAAAACATGGTCATAAGTATCCCAATGTCTTGCAAAGCAGACTATCGGACAACATTACAAAAACGTTGCTATGGTTGATAATGAGCTTTAAGACTAATATAACCTATATATATAAGATACTTAGTTTGGGTTTTGTTCTTTTCATTTCTTTAGCTCTGCTCGATTTTGTCTCAGTGTTGTATATATTGTAAATAGTATAATTTAACATTACTTACCAACTTTTTCTTTATTTTTGAATATGTAATGTAATGTAATGTGTATTTATATAACGCATTTATTGTGTATGGCCATACACCCAAAGCGCTTCACAATCATGAGGGGGGTCTCTCCACACCACCACCAGTGTGCAGCATCCACTTGGATGATGTGACAGCAGCCACAGGACAACAGCGCCAGTGCGCTCACCACACACCAGCTATTGGTGGAGTGGAGAGACAGTGATAGAGCCAATTCGGTGGAAGGGGATGATTGGGAGGCCATGATCGTAAGGGCCGATAGAGGGACTTTGGCCAGGACATCGGGGTTACACCCTTGCTCTTTCACGAGAATTGCCATGGGATTTTTAATCACCACAGAGAGTCAGGACCTCGGTTTAACGTCTCATCCGAAAAACGGCGCCCACTGACAGTGTAGTGTCCCCTTCACGTTTTACTGGGGCATTAGGACTCACACAGACCACAGATTGAGCGCCCATTGCTGGCCTCACTAACACCACTTCCAACAGCAACCTAGTGTTCCCTAGTGGTCTCCCATCCAGGTACTGACCAGGCTCAGCCCTGCTTAGCTTCAGTGAGTAACCAGTCTTGGGCTGCAGGGTGATATGGCTGTGGCCAGAACAGATGAATAATTCATTGTTTTTGTTCACTTTTGGGAATTATAAATAAAGTCACATATTTTTGGTATTACTTCTGTTGTCTTTTGCACTTAATCACTGTTTGTATAAATATTAGGGATGTAATGGTATTGTAAATACCGTCATACCACAATATTAATTTTTTTCGATATTACCGAAG